CGGTAGCAGACCTGATCGAGTGGTAAAATACCTGAATATTCCATTCTATCTAGTACCTAAATGAATTTGAAAACTTCAATTCCTTGTTTTACTAAAAAAAAGTAATTTGATAACAAAACAATTCAAAATATATTATTCGAGTAATGTAATGATAAATTCCATAAAAACTGAGAATTTTTCAAAAATAAATTGACAGAGAATTAACAAACCGAGAATTCTAAACAAACCGTATAAAAAAAAGCTAATGTAATTTCACTTACATGAAGTGCTAGTCGCAAAATTTTCACTTTTGACTTGGCAAGATGAACAAGTGAAGGCAGCAGCATAAACCAAATAGAGTATGCATAAAAAAGTAAAGTCTTTGGCCATGTAACTGGTGAATGTCGAGCATTTAATATAGCTGTTTCAAGAGCGCTACGAGCCTCTTGTTTTGTACGAATCAAAGCACTCTCCAAATAATCTAGAAATTCGAACGAAACAAGTGGAAAGTTTTGCAAGGTATAACAGATATGGCCAAAAATCACATATAATAGGAACTGCAACTTATTCACTGCATACCACTGCTAGTACCTGAGCCTTTCATTTCGATGCTCATTTTGTGTAAATTTTCAAGCTGGAACAATGCTGGTTCAAGTGTCCTTGGAAAATATTCATATTTATAGGTTAATTCTTGGCCATCTGAGTTGAGAGTAGATTCCGGAGGAGGAACGAATTCCGTCTGACAACTCGCTGACATCTCATATTCCACAAGGGAATCATTTGATGAACGATTATCTTGAAAATATAAAAAATATGATGCACTTATCAATTTTAATAAATAAAATGCACGGAAAACTGCTCGAAGATCAATTATCAACTATTACTTCCTAACATTAATTTATAATCAAAATTGGAGGCTAGATTAACCACTGGATTTAACAAATGAAACATGGCATGCATTTATGCAAACCAATACAGCAAAGTAGGTACCATTTTGGGAAATTTTTGCAATACATTCATCAAAGAACGCGTTATAAGTATTTTTGTCAGATACAAATGACCGCTCTTCGATAAACCGATTGAATGACTGTGTTTCGCTAAATCGTTTAAAGAATTCCAATGACGACCTGAAAAAGACTAAGACTGAAAATATTTCCATTTAGAACATTTAGAACAACTGGATACGACATAATTGCTTAAATTTATGCACCATAACACAACTTAACATATAATAACTTAATTAATTACCTATCACGGGAGTGAAGAAAGGCATCAAGGTCAAAGAGCGAGCCCGTATCAGTAGCTCCAACACAACGCGGGGCACAACGAATAGGTCTGAGGTAAGCAGTATATCCTTGCATTAAAGAAGCCATGAATCTAAAATTAAGATCACGAGAATCAACTAATGCCATCAAGTTGTTTGCTCTTTGTTCAATATAATTGGAACCTGAAAAAAAAAAAAAAAAAACCCAGACAAAAGGCTATAACAGCAAAGACATGGGAATGATGATCATTACCGCAGAAAAGCATCCTGGACGCTGATTTCAAGCATCCGTTTTTTGCGCTGTATATCATAGTCGATATCCAAAGGCATAAAATCCATATTTTTTCGCAAAGCAATTACATTAAATTCTTCTTGATAAAGCCGTCTGTGAAGTTTCTCAAGAGTGTTCTTAAGTTGTCGTGAAGCTTTCTAAAAAAAATCTGATTAAAGGCACAAATTTACAATAAAACAAATAAAACCTTTCTTAAATTTCGCTCCATCCAGAAAATGAATCAATGCGATAAAAACTGGCTATGTACGGTATTAACCTTCGGAAGCATACTAAGTTTCAACGTTTGACGGACGGAAGAAAAACTGATTGTTGAAGTGTCAAGATCGAAACAAGTAACATCAGAGGGCGGATCCTCGTAGAGATCGAAATATCTGAAAAGAGCAATTATTACAGATTTTAAGTGTGGAAATCTTTGCTTTATTTAATACCAAAAAAGCAGTGCGTCAAATCTGAGTTCTGAAACTTCACATATAAAACCCGAAAGATCATTTCAACATTGACCAATGTTTCAAATTACCATTAAATTCATTTACCTGGAATCAACCCCGGCAATAAAAGGAAGTGGAGCATGAAGCACACCAGCAAGCGAAAGCGGACATTGAGGAATGTAAGGACACTGCCAGTGAAATGGGAACATTAGAGCACAGACACTTTCCGCAACAGCCGTCAGTAGCCAAGGACGCAACGAATGAACTAATATTTTTTGTTCTAGCAACGCAAGCAGCATCAGATACCTGAACTTACGTTGGGTTTCGAAGTCTCATAATTATGTTTAAATGAGAAAATTCTCTATGAGTGTTCTGTTTTACATGAGTTAAAAAGAAAAAAGAAACCCTAGATGAAAAAATACGGGTTCTTGGTAATAAATCCATACATCAGATTTTGTGGTCCCAGACATTTCAGTGTATCGAAAAAAGCGGCACCCGAAAGAGGTAACTGCGAATCGTCATGACTTTCGAACGAAATTGTTTCGTTACCCAACTGAACTAGTACACGTGGACACCGTGGTGACGGAAATGACACTTCGTAGAGCTAAACAACATATTTTGACTAGAAGAAAAATCGGTTTGACTTATAAAATATTTCATCTGTGGAACAAAGCAATATTAACGAAGATATAGTCTGAGATGCCAGTTCATTTAATTTGTAATATCGGGTAGCATAAAAAAGTACAAAATTCTCCACAGTTTACAAAAAGAAAAAAAAAAATGCAGCAGTGGAACAAAAACTCACAAGGTGCGATATATAACGTTCCACGGGAACACTATGTGCACCTGAGAGAGATATGCGATGAAGGTAAAACAGGAACCGCTTAAATGCGTTGAAAAATGGATATTTGGATATGATACAAATTGACATGTTGCTGTGGAATGTCATCTGAATTAATTTTTAATATTTTTCATGTAAATCAAATTGTAAACGGCAAGAAACCCTGAAGAAGAAAATTAAAGTTAGAAAAAACCTGTTCAGCTGGATCATTGGTATTGGAAGAATCTTCTACCGTCCCGCGCGTAACTGTTTCATTTACTAGTTCCAATTTTTCCATCTGTTCCATGCTAAGTGGCTTTGTGTAAGGTTCATAAAAGGTAACTGATGAGCCATAAAGTTTACTTCCATCCTAAATATTTGTGAGAATTAATTGGAAAAGTCTACTGACATCAATAGATTTAAAACACAGCCAAGAAATACAAAATACTTATTCATTGATATCAAGATCAATCTCATCGAAATCGACCAAGTGGAAATCTCAGATAGACAAGTGAAAAAATTCAAAAAAAAAAAACAAAGAAACACACTTGGTCGGTTAGAACGAAAGTAGAGAATGATTTATCCGGTGGTTGACACCTTGCTGGCCAACATTCGATTAAAGCACCCACTGGAAGGCAAAACATTGGTATATTCTGAGCCAACGTAAATTTGTTATCTAAAGGAAAATGATCCAAAACTGCTGGTTTATAAGCTATTCGTTTCGATGCTCCCTGTGATTTTTTGTAGCACAAAAATACATCAGAACCAACCATGCCCTGAAATTTATAAGCATTCAGTAATATCTAACTTTTTACTGAACTTTTCAGTGTTCTAAATCATGCTTTACAATAAGAAAAAATATGAAGTGATTGGAAGGCGTGATAATTGCGTTAAGGAAAGATCTTTTTATTTTTATGGAAGTTCTTGCTTTTCCAAGTTCTTGGAAAAGCAATAATTGAAGTTTCAAAATTACATTTTTTTTTTTTTTCTTAAGCAATTACTAATTTCACGCAATGCAGAAGGACACTCCAACCTTGTTCAAATTTTTTGGAATTTTATAATACGTATGTGGAGCTGTCTCTCCTTTATTTGCCAAAATGACACAGATGTGAGTAACAACAAGTTGGCTTGGTGCACTATTGGCTTGTGCACGTCGATATGTCAGGAAAACACCTTAAATGAAAGATGGAAGTAAATTAGTGCAAATTTAGTTGAACCTAACTATTAAAAAAAAGAATGATTTCAAGAATCGATACCCGGTGAGGCATTGTTAACATTGGCAGAACGGCCGAAAGGAGTCGTCAATACGGTGTTCGAGTCAAGCATTGGCTTTTCTCCGCGACCCTCGTCCAGCACACCTGAACACAGAAGTTAAAATCAATCAGACAAAAGTTACAGCAAACCACTGAGTATATCATAAACTAACCGATATCAACCAACGGTGGCTTATGATATCCTCGTCGGAAACATAAAAAGACTGAGGGGGTTCGTAATGAACCGTGATTCAAATCAGCTGCGTATCCCATTGGCGTACTTGTGATACGCTCAAATCCATCTGGGACCTGGAAAACATAACATGAAGGGGGTGATTACAGGATATTTCGACTTCAAAAGAATAAAATGGATACAGGAATACCGTTTCGCCTAGACCGGGGAAGATCACACAGATATCAGTAATTGGAGCTAAGGGAGCTGAGTTTCGGCATCCACACTCTTGAGCTGTAGGTACCAGATCTTCAGCACCATCTTCCAAGCCAACGATAACGAAATATTCAAAAAGTCTTCTACACTCTCCCATCCAAATTATTCTGAAATCAAAGTATATTATCAAAAATCCATTCACAGAAAAATAGAACATTAGTAGCGACGAACGAGCATGCTTTCCTGAAAGCAATAATGCATCCTTTTTTTCGTGAACCAGCTTTATTGATGCATATATTCAAATATGTAATTGATGAATTTAAGACAGCGACCATGAAATACCTTACACAAGTCAAACGACAACTTCGAACTAATCAGAAGCAGTCGTCAAAGCTTCGTCTTCAAGTAAAATCATGCCTCCTCAGTGGGATCAAATGTTTTCATTGGTGACTTCCCTCACTTACGTGAGTCGTCCCGTGTGTTAGATTTGTAATTCAAGCTCGAAGAACGCGTTTCATTTCTGGATTATGAAGTGTACCTCGGCAAATTATAGACATTTCACAGCCGTTCTCTGAAATGCTTGAGATTCTGAAAAGGCGGGTCAATATCGCGCACGCACGTCGCACACGTCATATTTTATACGGACACCAAAATATCCCGAAGCCAACTGATAGTCAAACTGAAGGGTAAGTTAACTTTCTGATGAATGGAAAATTCTGTGTGAATACTTGATGGAAAAAGTATTTGTGAACTTGTAGCCATCCTTGGAATATGAAGCGTTTAAATTATGTTTGTGGGAATTACATAGAAGGAAAACTATGACTTGTTTCAGAATGCAAAGGAAGGTTATTGAGCAGGAAAAAATCACGCACGAAAGTATTGTTAATGGTCGGAAGGTATTATGGAGTAATGCATCTGACTACTTAAAGGTATTAAAATAAGTACATGGAGTGGTAGGAAAGTATTTAGCAAGTTCTGAAAATTATCCAAACGTATTGGAACTTAGAAGATGTCTACTTCGACAAGTAAGCTCTTCATGATTTTCAGACGAACAAAGCACATGAACAGTTACGTAAAGTGCTAACTGCCTGTGCCATAATATTGGCGATAAATGTATTCTTGTTTATCCAAGCTGGAAAGGACTTAGAGCGACGAAGGAAAGGAAACATGAGTGAGCGTGAAATTCAACGTAAAAAATTGAATTTATCAGGCGAAGAAAGGCATAAAATTGGTAAACCGTTTGTTGTTAATTAAGGATATCGATTACTTATCGATGGTATCGCCTTGTTCAAGATTTATCGATATGTATATATTGTGGCTTGGTTCGCGATTAACTTCTTTGTGGGTATTTTCTGAAATCCAAACGTATTGGAACTTAGCAGATGTCCACTTCGACAAGTAAATTCTGAAGAATTTTCACAGTTAGTAGACTAGTTCACAGCACACAACGTGAAATTTTTAAGCTTTTTTTTAAAGTTTCCATTTGTTATAATTTAAATTTGTGAGCCTTTATTCTCTGCATCTAATTAGTGGCTGATCCTTGGTTTGTTTTCTCAAAAAAAAAAAAAAAAAAAAAAAAAAAAGAAGAAAAAAGAAGAGATAATTTATTTCAAATATCGACTGGTAAATTGGTCTGGTTACATTGATTTTAATGTTTGAGCTTTCTTTAATCGATTTTTTCTTTTGTTTTGTCTATGAATTGGTTTACGCCCGGATTTGCTTGGAGCATTTTGTGAAATGAAACACGCAAAGGGACTGAATGAAAAACCCAAATTCTAAAACGTTTTAGAAAGTGCTTGAAATGCATTCATTTTTAATTTAGTACATGAGGGGAGTTTTTTGGCTAAAGAATGGAAGAGTTTTTGCACAAATTGAATAGACAAGCACTATTATTGGAAGTTTCTGAGATACTGAATTGTTAAAGTGGGACAAACCACTGTCTCATAATTTGTGGTGTTCCTTAAGCTTTTTGTTTAAAATGACAAATATTTTAGGAAAAATTATAAATTGTACCAAGCGAGTTATGCTTTGTGTGTTGTAATTATGCATTGTAATTTTTATGTTCTACTTTAAAATTTTTCAATTCATATTAAATGCCTCTCCAGGCAAATAGCGAATTTCTTTAGCATTTGAGGATTGTCCTAGTTCACTTAACTTTTTAAAGGAACGTGATGAATTCGTTATACATGAACTGGTAATTTTGAAAGTGTCACAGAAAGAATTATATGATTATCAAAAGCGAAGTTATACAGTACTTTTATGATCAGCTTCAAGGGCTTTTTCTTTTAGTAACACACTGTTTTCGACATACATTATCATCCTCTGTCGTATCTTCATTTGCTTTGAACCTAATTTATCTTATTCTGTTTTATGGTTGGCTCCTGATAAAGGGAACTGATAATAGTAAAGAAGAAACAAAGAACAGTTTATAAACATATAACTCAAGTTTACTAATTTGATGGTTCTCGTCGAATATCTCAATCTTATTGTTTGCTTTTGTGACCTAACTGAACAATAAAAGTGTTAGTGGTACTTGTTGTGGTGTGTGAAATATAGATGCGCGGTATGAATTTCTCCGTGACGATTTGTTGCTCACATCTCCTCAAGTCCTTCAGTGCTATACCCAGTGATGCTAACCGTTAATCCTAACTTGCAAGACTTTACTACCACTGGCAACCGTGAACTACCAGCCGGAAATGTAGGTTTTCGCTCAATTAGTTGAAGTGTTTGCGTCGAACAATGCTGTTGTAGACGGAATAGTCTAGAAATTTGCGTCTTGTGGGGACTTATTGCGGCTTGTGAGTCCTGTGGGAGTGCAGGTTTCAATTGATGGGATCGTTATGGGTGGTGGGGTGCGTTGTCTTGAGCAGTTTTATTTTGGACAGTTTGGTTTGAAGTCTGAAAGCCCTTAACCTTCGGACCCGTATGTTGAGGAGATTGAAAGTTTTTTTAGAAAATTTGATTTGTTGCAGATTCTTCTTTGATTTGAAGACAAAGGAAAATGACCGAAGGGAACGTGATCAGTGAGAATGATAGCATACGAATTGTCTCCAATTTCCTCTTGCATTCTCCTCCTGGAGAGTTTAATGAGGTTTTTATCGGATTTTAATTTTTTACTTAACCTGACTTCGAAAATATGTGCCCTATCAGTCTCATTACATAAGCTGTAATGTTTTCATTGCTGCCCTTTTTTTTTTTTCACAATTAAACGAATGAACTTGGTGACTGATATGTCTCTTGTAAATTTTTTTCCGAAAAAAAAAAAAAAAGTAATAACACAGATGCATAATGCGCTGCACTGAGCATCGCAATATCACGGCGAACATTTATCTTATAAAACGAATATATCTAGTTCTTCAGTTATTAAACACACAAAAAATTTAAGCCTCACGCTACTTTGAAAGCCTCATCAGAACTGTCTTTTGTCATTTGAAATGTAGGAAAACTAAGGGCAGCAATGAAAACATTATAGCTTATGTAATGAGACTGATAAGGCACTTGGGTCACAGTGCACTATTGCGCTTAATTGTAGCACTTATCTTAAGAGTAGTTCTTATGGGCTTTAATTAGCTGTCAGGCGGCGATATTGCTGCATTCTATACGAGGATTACTGAAATACGTTCCTCTGTGTTTCGGCAGTCCTTGAACATATTCTTTATGGCATTCTTGTTAGGTTTGTATGCTGTTCAGAGTTTCTAAGATTTGCTTGAGTTAAAAGAAAATTTTGAAAGCTGATACTTGCCAGGTAAGAAAATCATATAGTTTGTTGCATAGGTTTTTAACGATGTGCGTATGTTGCTGAACAACGATAACCTATTGAAAGATGGCTGTGCTGTGATATTTGCACAATACAATAAGGAACAATTCATCCCTGTTAAATTGGAAAGTGTTGATAGACAGGTACCACACACATTAGTTTATGAAATTGGAAACCTAGTTTTCCTTTACTTTAGTGATCGGTGCGGAGACTCAAACTTTTAGAAGCGAAAAACTTAATTTTCGGAATTTAATGTAATTTGTTTTCGGTTACCATTGCATCTTGTGAAAATTAATCCTACTTAATATGCCGCACTATATTTCACATTTGGGTGAGGTACGTTTTAGAGTACTAAGAAATCTTTTAAGGGTGTTGGAGGTTTAGTTGAGCATTGCACAAAAGAAAAAAAAAAAAAAAAGAAAAAACTGTGTAAAATATTCATGTGCTTTTGGTTTCAGACTTTAATCACACCATTCAATGAAATGCCGAATGGCCGATTTTATGATCCTAGATCAAGAAATTCATTCAAATATGAGCATTTACGGAAAGAAGCTACCGATATTCAAATTGAAAATGCAAATGATGGGGGTTCTGAGACTTGGCGGAAAGCAGTACAAGAAGTTTGTTATCTGCACTTTATGTAGCTGGTTTCGCTCTTGTTACAACAGTCTTTAGGTTATTTGGTAATTCACTAAATATATCAGGAAATTGCTGAAATAAGCTTAGGTTAAGTTTTCGTGCAATTTTAGAAATTAAAAAATATTCGAAAATCTGAGGTAATATGAACAACACATGGACTCGAAAATTTTCGCGGTGTTCTTTCAAACAAGTTTTTTGTGTTGTAAAGATTGCAACTGATTATTCAGGAAGCGGACAAATACACTGACAGCCATTACGAAGAAACAGGTATAGCAGCGGTATTTGTGAACAACGGCTCACTGACGTTGTGTATTGAAAGTCATCGGTATCAACCAAAGAATTTCTGGTGAAATACTATCATTGATTATTTTTCTGTATAGTTAGTGAAATTGCCACTTAGTTCAAGAATATCATAAATTTCAAGTTTATTATTAGTGCTAACTATTCAATGAAGAATAATACACCAGGAGTTATCAACACTAATTCTACATTTCATTATACTGCTAGGTTTTTTCTGCACATATAATGAGAAGTAGAACACAGAAAGAACCAATCTGTAATGGTAGGATTCATAACTAGGTACTTTACTTGTGTACTTTGAGTTACCTGCTTTAATTGCGGTAGGAATGGGCGATGGCGTTCACAGTGGACAATACCTATTGCGGACGGCAAAAACGAACAATGTGAAATTAAAGGTATAATCAAAGTACATGTGCATTATTACGAAGACGGCAACGTTCAACTTGTATCGACAAAGGAAACATCTGCCAAAATTACATATACTGTTAGTTTTTATAAATCTATTTTGAGTGTTGTTTTTATGGAAGAAAGAGGGAAAAGAAGTAAGACAATTGCAGAATAAATTTTCAGGCTGACTTCGCGCAAACTGCAAAAGATGTGTTTAGAATAATTTGGGATGAAGAGTCGAAGTATCAGGCAAGTTCATTTGTTTTAATAATGATTATTAAATAGTAAGACTGCGAAGAAACTTGAAGTTTGAAGGACTTCTGTTAAAATGATGTTTCGTACATCCCTTGCAGGATGCAGTCCAAGAAAATTACCAGCAAATGTCTGCCACAACATTCAAAGCCCTACGACGTCAATTGCCCGTAACGGGTGTAAAATTTGATTGGAACAATACACATGCATATCGAATCAGCAAAGATTTGAAACCACAGTGATTATTTGTCGATGGAGAAAGGTTTTTTTTTTTTTTTTTCTTTTGCAATTCTTAGTATTTAAAAAGCATGTATTTAAAGACTTAATTTTAATGTATGTCTATAATAATAAGGCATGCAAGGTGCATTTTTATGTATTATAGGCTTTCTCTGTTACATAGAATGTTTAAGTTAAAGTTTTTCGGTACTTAACCTCATAGTAACGAGTTAAGTCGTCATAATTTAGTGTCAAGACTTTTTATAGATTCGCTTGGCTGGAAATTAAAATCGCTACATATAGACTTGCAAAACATTTGGTACTATTGGTTTGTCTCTATGCTACGCTTGCAAAATTTTTTCGATTGAACAGCTACACTCTTATTGGTTTTAGACCAATAAATAAGCTACTTCGAGACTTATTTATTGAATAAAAGCTTTAATTCAAAGTCCGTTGTAGTTATCTTTTGTTTTCTTCCTTTGTTAAACCTCATTTATACATAAATCTGGCTTGTGTAATCTTCCCTGAAAATGCTGACTTATTGGAACAGGAGGTATTTTGCAAACACTCAGGTCTCCCGAAAATATTAGGTTTTACTGCATTAAATTTTATTTAGTTCTGCTTTTGTTAGGATATTTGTTTACCCACTATAATTTTCAGAAAATATCAGTTTTATTCGTACCGCTTGTATGCGCATTACTTA